AATGATAGGAAGGTTAAAGTCACCCGCTATTATAAAGTGATCACTGCAGTTTTGGCTTTTAACTTCAGAGAGTTGATTCATAAATATGTGCAATCTTGATGGAATTTGATCATTGGGTGGGATATAAACTGTAGCAATATGCAAATCATGCCTGGATTTGATAGCTTATAGAAGTCTTTCACCTTCCTAGCATCTATTGCTATGGCCGCTTGGATGATACCCATGCTTTCAGCCTGGAAGACTACTGTGTTGTGGGTACCCAGCGGTGTGCATATGTGGATATTAACGACTTCAGAGAAAGCCCCAGACCCTACACCTTCATTTGTCTTAGAGCTATCCGTGAAAACTTTGAGCTCACTTGGACCAAATCCTTCCAGATGGTCAGTTTCCTTCAATTGTATCCTGTACTTTTTATCAAATACAAATTGTTTTGGGATCCTATCATACTTGGCTTTTAAGATAGGAATTTTTGAGTAAATTCTATCGATTATATCTGTATGGGGGACTCTACTCTTACTTAAAAGATTTAGGGTCTTGAGTCTAATGGCAGCTAAAGTTGCTTCTTGTTGTATATATAGATGAAGCGGTGTTAGCTCCAGCATAGCCTCCAAAGCTGCTGTTGGTGTTGTCCTTATGCAGCCCGTGGCAGCCATACAAGCTAATCTCTGGTAACGCTGTAGCTTTTGTATAGTGGTGGCTTCATTGGTTTTGGTCCACCATACCAGAGAGCCGTATGTGATCATGGGCCGAATTACAGTTTTGTACAGCCACAGTATAGTTTTTGGCGTTAAACCCCATCGTTTGCCAATCATGTTTCTGCACTGCCAGAAAGAATATAAAATAAAAAAAATTATCTTAACAAAATCTCGTATTTGTTGCCAGAATATTTTCTTCCTGCTCCATAACTTATTTCAACCAATGTTACTCATTAGGGGGATAAGTCGCTCGCGTCCGTAGGCTTTGGCCACCTGTTCCTAGGCCCACCCTACACGTGTCCCCCGGGTGGTGCTAAATGAGCGACAAGCCGATACCACAGACTCGGCTCCACGCCGTGGTAGCGGCGTTAAATATACCACCCCATTTCGCACCATGAGGAATCGAATTAAAGAAATGGCCCCAAGTTCCCGGCGCCCCTTTAATGGGGCAGGGGTGCGAAGAATCTCCGGGAGGAAAACCGGCGACGAGGTTCGCCACCCGTCACGTTCTGTCTCCCGGAGAGGCGAAATAGTGGATTGCAGAGGCCCGTCTGGCTACGTTGAATGTATGTGGGGCAATGAATGATAAAATGGATGAAGTATGCGATATGATGTATGATAGAGGAATAGATGTGTTATGCGTAAATGAGACGAAAAGGAAGGGGAAGGATGTCACTACACATGGCATGTATACCGCATACTGGTCTGGTGTAGACGAGATCGAGCGGGCATGCCAGGGAGTAGGTATCATCCTTTCAGAAAGAATGGGCCAATGTGTGAAAGAGTATGAATGTGTAAGCCCAAGACTGCTATGGATACGAATGAAAGTGGGCTTAAAGAAGTTGTTTGTGTTAGGGGTCTACGCCCCAGACATGTCTAAGCCCACTTATATCTGAGAGCAGTTTTGGGAAATGGTAAGGATTATGTTAATGAAGTGTAAGGGAAATGAAAATATTATTATGCTAGGAGATTTTAATGGAAGGGTTGGGGTCAGGAGGCTTGGTTATGAAAGGATATTGGGAACATTTGGTGATGAAAGTATAAATGAGAATGGTGAAAGTCTCCTCACCGTATGTATGGAAAAGAATCTTTTTGTGACGAACACTTGCTTTCGCCACAAGAGGATTCACATGTATACTTGGGAAAGAGGTGACGATAGAAGCTTGATAGATTTCATAATTGTGGATGAAAGATTGAGGGGCGCAGTGGTAGATACGAGAGTTTACCGGGGTTCTAACGTAGGAACGGATCATTATTTAGTTTTATGCCGAATTAATGGTCTATTCAGTCGTTGGCGCCATCGATCGTCTGTGTCTACCACTGCGTTACAGCGTATTAGAACAGAAAGGTTACAAGATGAAAGTGATAAAAACAAGTTCAAATGTAGACTGAAAGAAAATATAAGTGGTTTGGATGAATTATGTATGAAGGAGTTAGACTTGGAGAATATATGGCAAAATGTAAAGAAAGGTTTAGTGAATGCAGCTACCGAAGTATGTGGTGTTAGTAAGAGAAAGAATGAAAGGAAAAATAATATGTTATGGTGGGATGATGAGATACATATGGAAGTTGAAGCAAAGAAGAGAGCGTGGCTAGATTTACTAGCAACAAAGGCTGGTAATTCTAGCGGTACGAATGATGATATTGAAAGAAAAAAGGCAGTCTTTAGACATCTTAATAAGAGAGTAAAAGAAGTAGTTGAAAGAAAGAACGGATAAGAATGATAGAAGAATATCGGATAACTTCCAGGCAAATATTAAAATGTTCTGGAAACTTGTAAGAACTGCCAGGGGACATTCAAAACAGCCTATGATGAATGCTATAAGAGATGAGAATGGCTATATTCTGAATGATTAAGTTTTGAGTTTAAAGAGATGGAAAGAATATTTTGAAAGCGTGTTTATGAGTGAGGAGACAACGTGTGTACTAAGTGATAGTCCCAGTATATAAAGGAAGAGAGTCGCAGCAGGACTGTAAAAACTACCGTGGCATCAGCCATCTTAGCATTGTGGGAAAACTGTATGCTAAGGTACTGATTGAAAGGGTCATGAAAGAAACTGATGGAAAAATTTGGGATGTGCAAGCGGGATTTAGAAAGGGAATGGGATGTACAGATCAAGTCTTTTCCATGCGCATGATCGTGGAGAAGTTTCTGGCCAAAAACCAAAAGGTTTTTTGTGCGTTCATGGACTTGGAAAAGGCCTATGTCAGAGTGGATAGGGATTTGCTATGGCAAACACTGAACTCATTTGGGTTGAGCGCTGGCTTGATACAGGCATTGGAGTCTCTTTATAGGGACTCTAGTGCTTGTGTTAGGATCAACGGGGTCTACTCGGACTGGTTTGACATCCATAAAGGTGTCAGACAGGGCTGTGTGGCTTCCCCGTGGCTGTTCAACCTATTTATGGACAGTTGTTTGCAAAATTTGAAAGTTGAAGAATGTGGATTAAGAATGGGTGGGTTAACCGTCAAATGCCTTTTGTACGCCGATGATCAAGTTATTCTTGCGTCGTCGGCGGCCGAGTTGCAAATGATGGTTACATTAATGAACGGATCATTAAAAGAAAGGGGTATGAAAGTGAACGCAAGTAAGACGAAGGTTATGGTTTTTGAAAGAGAAGAAAGTAAAACGATTTGTGAAATAAGAATAGAAGGGGAGTTGTGGTTTGTATATTTGGGCTGCGTATTTAGCAGGGATGGGAGATATGATAAGGATATAGAAAGACGAGTGAATGCGGGAAATAGAGTAAATGGGGCCTTGCACTCTATTGTGAAGTCAAAATGTGTCGAAAAAGGCACATATGACAATTCACAATGCTGTGTTGGTCCCTACTTTAACATATGGTAGTGAAAGTTGGGTGTGGCAGAAGAAGCACGAGAGTAGAATAAACGCAGTAGAAATGCGGTCGTTAAGGAGTATGTTAGGGCTGAATCTGAATGACAGGGTAAGAAATTGTGTAATACAAGAAGAGTGTGGTTTGCAAGATGATGTTGTGACCAGGATTAAGAAAGGAATGCTTCGGTGGTTTGGTCATGTGGAAAGAATGAATGGGGAAAGAGTGACAAAGAAAATTTATGATGCAGAAGTGAATGGCAGAGTCGGAAAGGGACGTCCTAGGCGAAAATTTATCGACCAAATTGGCGATTTATTGAAAACGGGCCAAATTAGGAGTACCCTTAACCGACGAGCATGTATGCGTAGGTGTATGGATGTGAAGGAGGCAAGAGAGGTGTGTCAGGATCGTGCCAAATGGAAGTCTGTAGTCTCTGCCTACCCCTCTGGGTGACAGGTGTGAGTGTTTATGTATGTATCATTACAAACAAATTTTTGTTGATCATTTTGTTTTAACATTTTGGATTTTATTTCTGATCTTGTTTTCCCAATTGCATCTATTAATAGAAGAGATTTCATTTATCTTAATAATATCGTTTTTTCACTAAAATAATATTCACTGATTTGTGTCAAGTCAGATTTTATTTGCTGACAGCCAAAATACAACAGCCAATTTCAGCCCTCATTTTCCAAACCAGTGTTAATTAAACAAAAAAGTGACTTTCAATAAGTATTATTTATAATTTATAAAAGTGAAAGTAAAGTTATAGCCTATATACGTCCCACTGCTGGGCACAGGCCTCCGCTCATTTCTGAGAAGGTTTTAGGGCAAGGAATTGCCGGGCTGCCCCATGCGTGTTGGGAACTTCACTGTCTGAAATATTTTTTCTTAATTCTCTGACATGCAGGTTTCCTCACAATGTTTTCCTTCATCGCCGAGCATATGGTGAATCAGCACTTAAAATTGCAATTAACAATTTCATTGGTGCCGGTGGGGATAGAACCCAGTTTGCTCGCGTACTGTGAAATTTACAGCGAGCGCTAACCATCCGAGCTACCACAGCTTATTATGTCATTATTCCCTTCTACTATATACAGCTAATGAATTATTGCATAATTAATAAACAATAGCCTACTAACATTCTTTTATACCTCTCGTATTGCACACCTATAATGTGAAGAAAAAGAGCTTGGCCTTGACCGTCCACTTCACAAGGTACATACGTAAGTATGTACTACTCACTCTCATTAAATTCAGTATATTGTTTTTACCTCACTAATACATGAATAAAAGCACATTAATTAAAAGGTAACACCAATGAATTAAACTGATACTTTTATTATGGTTTTGCAATAAATATTGTTGTAAAAAGTCTAATGAATAATATAAAATTTATATACATACAACAACATGATTGAACCTTTACTCTGTTATCAGGTAAATATTCAACAGTTAAAATATATTGTTTCAGTGATCAAATAGACAGTAATGATCTCAGCAATGAGACAGACCTGTTTGCCTGCGACAAGAGCTCTTTATCCAGCAGTACAGATCCTGAAAGAACACTTAACACCTGTGAAAAATACATCAACATAAACAATAATGAGGAGACCAAAGTGAATAATAAGCCTGTGCCAATTTACAAGAGACCAAGGAAAAGGTTTGATTGGAGCTTACTCATTAATTCTTGTGTAGTGGCGGAGTGGGGGTATTCATTACCCATCTCTTTATATAGCTGTAATGACTGCCTCTTTGGTCTAGTATTTACAAACGGAATTTCTGATCATGAGGTCCCGGGCTTAAATCCCAGATTGGTCTTAAAAAAATTGGTTGTTGAGTTTTTCCATCGAGGAATTCTCAGTCACTGCCTAGAGTTGTTGTCTCACCCCGTGCCTCGGAAAGCATCCTATCATACATTGGGCCTACGCCTGATCTCTCTCCAGTCACGTTGGATTTTCGTTTCATCAGCCTATGAGAGAGAGAATAGAGATTGCACCTGTGCTTTGCATACATTTGAGTACTATAATCCTGTAATGCACTAATAACTAGTCTCTGTTAAAGCTGGCTGCCATGACCGAAGTTCTGTCTGGAGGACATTATTATTATTATTATTATTATAGTAATGTGAAAACAGAAGATCTTATGTCCTGTAACATATAGCAGATGGATTCGAGTTTAAAAGAAACAGTGATAGCAACATCAAAGATGAAACATCTGGTTTTGTTATTTCCAATCTGCCTGACAAGCATGGTGGTTATGGCATCTATTATAAGGTCGGCAATACAACTGCAAATCCCCTGGTGTCGCAGTTGTTCATGGGCGATGGTAGTCGCTTACCATCAGGTGAGCCTAATATAATAAAAATCTACTATAACATTACATCATGTGCAGTGGTGGATAGAATGTTTACAAGCTGACATGTATATTGCTCTTGGCTGAAGCTGCAGTTAATTGCAACTTTTAAATAAATTTCTTATAAAACTGTTTGGAATTTCATTGCATCACAGTATTATGCAAAATTTCTTGGATCAATTTTAGCCAAAATATATAGATTTAAATGGAAAATTCTGTAAGAAGTGATAGGTCTAGTCTAGTAGGTAATTATTGCTATGAATATATTTTTTAAATTATGTTTGTTTATGTGTCCACACACTTGTACTTTGTTAAATATTTTTGTGCCCAGAAAAAATCATAATATTATTCTCAAACAAAATTTATCTGACGCTAAATGTATACCTGATTAAGTTTTCATTAAAAGTTTTCTTCCTCGCACACCTTCCTTGTGGAATCGACTACCATCAGAGATTTTTTCGGACCAATACGACTTAGGGACCTTCAAGAAAAGAGCCTACTCCTTTTTCAAAAGGCTGGCAGCGCATCGGCAATTACCCTTCTGTTGTAGTTATTCATGGGTGGCGGCAATCACTTACGATCAGGTTAGCCGATGCTATTCTGCGCCCTCTCCTATAACAAAACCGATTCTGTTTTTTTTTTCAACCAATTCTCTTAATTGGTGCTTTTTTCTAATATTTAGAAGTGTTAAACTTTTTACAGATTCAGAAAACGCGTAAAGAAGCATCAAACAAATCGTAATAGAAACGACAGCGATGGTTCCAGCGACGAGGCGCTTCCGTTAAGCCGCGTAGATGTTGACACTGTAGACAGTCAGAGCGAGTCCCCCGACAGCGTCATGGGTGTTCCTAATATTGTTATTGTCACTAAAGGTAAAGAATGATATCCGGCTCGAAGGACCAAACTTTTGTCAACTGATTTCATTATTCTTCTTTATCTTATTAGGAAGATTTTCTCCAATCGTCACACTCGGTAGACGAATTGGCAAATTGACAACTAGTACCAGCCGTAAGTACCTTTTCAGCAGCTGAAAAATGATATATACGAGACTGATATTTAATATTGACATATAAAGGAATTGTGCTAAATAGAAGTCCATAGTCTCTGCCTACACTTCTCATTCACAGGCTTGATAGTTTATGTATGTATGTGATGGATTGGTGGAATGAGTGTAAGAGTTTACACATAAATGTCAAAAAAATCTTTTACCTTTCAACAAATTATAGTTTGACATCTCAAATTTGCAAAACTTAAGATTCCCATTTATATATAGATTGGACATTTTTTTATTTATTAAACTATGGTGACAATTAAGCACACATTCAACCTGATGGTAAGTGAATGCTGTGGTCCATAGAAATTTGCATCTATTCTCGATTAATAATGAAAATGCAGGCATTGTCACACCTGAGCACTGAGATGGAATGCTTTGTTTCTAATAAAAAGTTCTCTACACTCACTAAAGGAAACACAGCAACATTAAGTTGCTTTTTCACACTGGTATTCTGTGATAATGTAATACTTCCCCGTTAAAGTCAACCTATTCATACCACAACCCTAATATAGATGCAGCATAGCTCCACCATATAAATAATTTTAAAAATATATTGAATAACTTGCTAATCGTATTAGTAAGCTGAAGTGGCAATGGGCCGGCCGTATAGCTCGAAGATCCGACAACCGATGGGGAAAAGAGGTTCTCGAGTGGCAGCCTCGTACCGGTAGGCGTAGTGTAGGGCGATCCCATATATATATACACACACACACACACACAATATGTAACAAAACCCTGTGGTTCCCTTTAAGTGTGTGTTATCAGAATCAGTAGCCAAGCGTATAGAAATATTATTTTTTTTTTCAAAAAAACGCATTTCAGTTTTTTAAATTTTAATGAAAAAAAAATATTTTGCAAATTGTATGTGTGGTTTTATTTCTTCTAACTCACACGAGTATCGGTAATGCGGGGTCTTTGACAATCCTCTTACTCCTCGGTCAATGCAGAGATATAAATCCACATACAATTTGCAAATTAAATTTTTTTTCTATAAAATTAATGTTTTTAAATGCGTTTTTTTTTTGTTAAATTATTTCCATATGCTTGGATACTGATTCTGATAACGCAGTTAACGGGTTTTTGTTACATGTTGTATATATATATATATATATACCTGGTAAGACATGCAGGAAGTCGATGGATGCAGGTGGCTCAGGATCGTACTTTATGGCATTGCTTGTGTGAGGCCTATGTTCAGCAGTGGACTTGTGAAGGGCCGTAATGATGATGATGAATGATGAGTAACTTGATATCACCAACAACTGGAATATAAAAATTTCCATTATGTTTCATGCAATCTTAATCTCACAAGATAACCGGAAATCTTTAATTTCAGAAATAAAACCAAAACTGAAATCACCTACACAACAGAAGAACACTCCTATACAACTAAGCAAACATGAGTGTACTGAATTATCTATACAAGCAAAAAAATCCAATACAATGCAACATATTCCTAAAGATGTACCTGTGACTGTCGGTACCAGTGAAAACTGTGAGAAAACTGCCATGGATAAGAATGTTGAGAAACTTGGTATTCAGGAAGGAAAGAATTGTCCACTCTGCAATTTGTCATTCCGAGGGGAGAGAGGATTGAGGTATGTAACTAGAAAGTTAAGTTAGTTTTTAGCGTAGGAGTCTGTGTGGATAGGTGGTGGCACTTTTTGTTTGTTATATATTTTTTTAACAATAAAAAAATCTGTATATAGATTTTATGAAGTAAGTTAAAAAAATTACAATCCGCTTATTTTTCTACTATCTACGATTTTTTAAAATTTACGTTCATCAATTAAACTTAAAACCTCCCTAAATTGATTAATTTTGACGGAAGGAAAGAAATCATAAACATTTAAGCTCTGCACATTTTTATTTGAACTTTTTTGTCTATAAAAACCGTTTTCAAGAATTTGCGTAAAAACACTTTTGACATTTTTTAACCCTTGCTGGGGGTAACGGACATTAAAACCTTAACATATTGTTTTTGTAATAATAATAATGTCCAGACCGAATTCCGGCCACGACGGCCTGCCTTAACGGAGGCTAGCCATTCGCGCAGGACAGGATTATAGTGCCCAAAGTGTATGCGCAAGCACACTCACACACTCTCTATTCCCTGACTCTCGTAATCCGATGGGACGGTAAACCCAGGGGTTGAAAGCGGTAAAGGTATAAGGGTATGGTACCGGTATAGGATTACGATACAGCTTCGATTTAAAGGTAGAACCAAAACGGTTGAGAATTACGGTTGTGGTACCGTTAAAAAAAAGAATTATACCTATATTTTTTTACGGTATCGTTATACCTATATTTTACTAATACCTTTACCGAAATAATTTCGGTACCGAAAAAAATGAGTATTTTAGGCTTATTTATATGTATTGTGTCTCGGACCTTGCTTAACGTTATGAGACTCTTTTGATTTGGATTTCCTATGTTACTGTATTTCATGTTCGGAGAAAATAAAACATCTTTATCATATTTGTATTATTATTTATTATCAGTAAAGTATTTAATTAAAAACGTAATATTATGTTTAACATGTGGGTACCAATTCTTAACCTAGCTCTTCAGAATGAGATAAAGGAACATCTTTAAAGTGCTTCCCTTCCAAGGGATGTAGGAATACTAATATTTTTGAGTACACACGGGCTCGCATACAAGTTTTTATATTTTGCATCCGTTTTTTATAACATTTTCCGGCCCTGAGAGCGATCGAATAAAGAACTCTAAGCTAAAAATTACTGCCGTGTAGTGGCGGTTAAGAATCCCCGTGGGTGTCGTAAAAGGCGACAGAGGGAAGGCGGCAGGAGATGGGCAGCAGCATCTTCCTTATAACATCAATTGTACAACAAAAAGAACTACGGTTGCCAACCCACTTGTAAAGCGTGGCAACTATGGAAATACCCCCCACGAGCAACGACACAAGTAAACGGCCCCCAGTTCCACGGCGGCCGCGCTATTCCTGGCTAGGTGGCGAACATGGTAAAGGCGGGATAGGTGTGCTAAGAATCTCCGGTGAAGGGTCGATTGCCACCTAAGACGATTCGACTTGGCAACAAACAACGGACGCACCCTGAGGACTACCAAGAAGATCCTGGAGCTGGAAGAAGAGATAGACAAGTAGCGCTTGAATATTAAGGGATTATCCGCAGTCCGAAGAGAGGAGGAGGTCACGGTGATTCTTGAATCCGGCAGCTTGTTCTATCACCGGGAGGGCGACCATTCTGTCCCAAGGAGGTGTTGGATTTATAGTCCACAAGTCTCTCGTTAACAACCTTGTAAAGATTGGTAGTGTGTCGACGAAGGTTGCGTACCTCATATTCAGAATCACCAAACGGTATCCAAGGTCATACAGGTCTACGCACCAACATCTATTACATTTTTAGATATTCTCTATGATATTTCTAGAGCCATGCATGCTTATAAAAACCACTATACGGTATTAATGGGAGACTTCAACGCAAAACTAAGCAAAAGGAAGAAAGGTGAGCTGACGATAGGTAAATTTGGGTTAGGGCAACGGAACACAAGGGGCCAGCAGCTGGCCGACTTCATGGAGAAGGAGGGACTGTTTATAATGAACTATTTTTTCCTGAAGCGGCTCCACAGAAAGTGGACATGGTCGAGGCCCGACAGTACAATAAAAAATGAGATTGACAATTATGAAGACGAGACGGTAACTGTTCAGTGATGTCTCACTGATCGCAAGGATGAAAACTGGCAGTGATCACCGAATGGTTAAAGGTACACTGAACCTAAACGTTAAGTTGAAGAGGTCTCGTCTAAAGAAGTCAACGCTCCGTTCCCCTCGTGCTCTAATCGAGAATCCCGAAACCTTTCAACTCGAGTTACGTAACCGCTCTCAGTGCCTAGAAGATTGCAATGCAGTGGACGATATGAATGACAAGCTCGTGGAAACTGTCTATGCGGTCGGAGCTAAGTTCTGCAAGACCCGCCACAGATGAACACAAAAACTCTCCGATCACACTCTTAATCTCACGGCTGTTAGACGGGAGATGAGGCTGCAATCGTCAACAGATTTGACAGCATACAGGCAACTGAACAGACAGATCTCCAAATGCATGCGGCGAGACTTACGCAACTTTAATATTGCTCGTATTGAAGAAGCGATCGAATGAAACCAGGGCTCCAAAGTCTTTGAAGAATGAGTGTGGCAACACCGTTTCCGGGACACCTGAGATTTTGAGTGAGATTGAGAGTTTCTATGAGCTGCTGAACACATTATCGTTGGAGCCACACGCAAGTGTGAGTAACGATTCAAGAGCAAGTCTAATCCGACACTATTCCGATGATATCCCGAAAGTCAGTCTGAGCAAGAAAAGAAGGCTCTCTATCACGTTAAAAACGGCAATGCCCCAGGTGAAGATTGAATTACAGCGGAGTTTTTGAAAGCGGGCGGAAAACCGGTACTTAAAGTCCTTCAAAATCTCTTCAATTTCGTCCTTCATGGTGGCACTACTCGGAGGCTTGATGCAGAAGTGCAGTGCTCTTGTTTTTAAAGAAAGGCGATTACGCTCTCTTGAAGAACTACAGACCGATTTCCCTTCTGAGCCGCGTCTGCGTGCCGTTTTCGAGAGTCATTACGAATCTCTCGCACGCAGACTCGACGACTCCCAGCCTCCCGAAAAAGCCGGTTTCCGAAAAGGCTTCAGTACCATAGATCACATACATAACCTGCGGCAGATTGTACGGAAGACCGAAGAGTAGAATCTGCCACTTTACCTGGCGTATACCGCCAACCGGTAACAACCGTAACCGTATATGAGAAAGCATTTGATTCCGTCGAAATTTGGGCGGTGCTACAGTCCCTTCAGCGGTGCCAAATTGACTGTCGGTATATCGAAGTGCTGAAGTGTTTGCACAGTAGGGCTACGATGCTAAGTGCTGTTTTCGAGTCATTACGAATCATATTCAACTGCAGAGAGGTGTAAGACAGGTTGACGTTATATCACCCATACTCTTCACCGCCACATTGGAAGATGTTTTCAAGCTACTGAATTGGAAAGGTATTAACATCAAAGGCGAGTACATTACTCACATTCGATTTGCCGTCGATATAGTCTTTATAGTGGAATCGCTGGAGGATCTAAGCAATATACTCAATGATCTCAATAGTGTATCCCAACGTATAGGTTTTAAGAAGAACATGGACAAAACAAAGATCATGTGTAATGTTCATGTCACGCCTATGCTGGTAGTTGTTGGGAGCACTAAGCTCGAAGTTGTTGACGAGTACGTTTGCCTGGGACAAATAGTCCGACCAGGTAAGTCTAACTTCGACCGAGAACCAGGAGATTTCAACTCGACTGGGCAGCGTTCGAGAAATTACGACACATCTTCTCGTGATTTATACCTCAAAACCTAAAAACTAGATTGTACACCAGTGCATGTTGCCAGCGATGACTTACGGATCTGAGACATGTTCCTTTAACTGCTGGCCGTATGAGGACGATCATGGTCGCTCAGCAAGCTATGGAGAGAGCTTTGCTCGGGGTTTCTCTGCGCGATAAACTTAGAAACCGCAGTAGAACCAGGGCAATCGACATAACCCAATGTATTAGTAAGCTGAAGTGGCAATGGGCCGGCCATTCAGCCCGAAGAACCGATAACTGATGGGGAAAAAAGGTTCTCGAGTGGCAGTCTCGTACCGGTAGGCGTAGTGTAGGCCCACTAGACGGAATGATGACCTGGTAAGACATGCAGGAAGTCGATGGATGCAGGTGGCTCAGGACCGTGCTTTGAGGCATTCCTTGAGGGAGGCCTATGTTCAGCAGTGGACTTGTGAAGGGATATAATGATGATAATGATGATGCTAAAAATGTCATTTCTTTGATCCTTTTCTTCTCGTTGGATAGCCATGCAATGGAAACATTCAGAGCGATGTTTATTTTTTTTTTTTTTGCGCCCGAAGCAATTAAAGGGCTACCCTATACGTAGGGAGGCGGAAAATGCATTACGCATACCACGATAGCCGGTCTATCGTGGTTATGAGGGGCTCACTGTCCTACCGGGGACCCTAAGTGATACCCTCTAAAAACCGCCTTTGGGGACAGGCAACCGGCTGATTAAGCTCTATTGTGCCTTATCATGAGCGACCCTCTTTTGGGAAAAGAGGGCGCAGGCGGCTAAGTGCCGCTGAGGGAGTGCCTACGAAGGCAAATTAATGTTAGATATTACAATAATTTTATTTAATTAGAGTTGGCCTGAGCTGCCAGGAGACAGTTCAGGTCGTTTGAAAGTTTATTAGGCGGGTCCGAGAGAGAGTTTCTCGGCCTGCGGACACGATAGCGAGAGGGGGGTGGGGCTGCATAAGAAGCTGCCTCACGAATTAAATGGTTTGGGTGCGACTCTGAGGCTTTGAAAGAAGGCTTTGAAGAAGTTCTCAGAGAGTTTTTTAAGAAATTGTTGAATTGTTGGGAGCTCTAAGTCCCGATGAAGGTCGGCATTGCGGACGTACCACGGTGCGTTCGCAGCTCGACGACAGAAGAGGTTCTGAACTATTTGGAGTTCATTTAAAATGTTAGGGTTTGCGTGGGCAAAGACGGGGCCCGCGTAGGACATGACTGGTCGTATACATACCTTGTAGAGGGTACGCTTGTTTCGAAGGGACATTTTACTGTGTCGGCCCAACATACTGTTGAGCCTACTCAGATAAAACCGTGCGTGACGGGTTACTCTTTTGACGTGGGGCTTGAAAGTGAGCCCTGTGTCTAGAGTGACACCTAAATATTTGGCGGACGTATGCCAGGGGACAGGGGTCCCTAGCATACGTATTGGTGGAGTGTTTTTGAGACGGCGTCGTTTATAATCGAAGTGGACGGCGGAGCTCTTCTCCGGGTTCACATCGATGCGCCATTTTTTTGAACCAAGCTCCTAGGTCATCAACTGACTTTTGGATCTTGTTCCGTATAAGGGGTAGTGAGACACCTTTGCAGTAGATGGCAGTGTCATCTGCAAAGAGGGAGAGTTGAACACCTTTCGACGGGATGGGAATGTCGTTGGTGAACAGGATGTACAGCAGAGGAGCAAGTACTGAGCCCTGAGGGACACCAGCCTTGATAGTTCGCTGTGAAGAAAGCGTGCCTTCGTGTCTGAAACGAAAGGTACGATGTTTTAAATAGGAGGCCACGAGACGGACTAGACGATCGGGGAAACCTACTTTATAGAGCTTGTAGATGAGGCCTGTGTGCCAGACTCTATCGAAAGCTTTGGCTATATCGAAAAAGACCGCGATGGTCTTATGACGACGAGGATAGAAACCGCTGAGGATATATTCCACAATGCGGTGAACTTGTTGGGGACATGAGTGTTTGGCTCGGAAGCCGAATTGATGGGGATGCGATGTTTATCTTTCTCCGGGTGTTTTTCTACTTTAGGGTGTAGAGCAGAAGGAGTCCTTGGTCGTTCCGAATTCACAAAAATATCTAGGGAATGATGGTGCTTATTCTGACACATGATGACTGGTTCTGAAATAAATCATATTCAATCATATCATCACTCACAACTCGAAAAATTACGTTCGTTCGGCCTCAATCTAAAAAAGTATAAAGATATACAAAGTTGTATAATATCGTCAAGAAATGCTTAATAAGTTTGTACCTACTTTTATCCATCTTTACGACAATCTAATTGTAAAATTTTAAACAAAGCACACATTATAACAAGCAGTTCACGCGGTAAGATTATGGAACTCACTATCGTCAAATATAAGAAATTCCGAAACTTTGTTGGTATTCAAGAAACGTCTTAGAGATAACTACTTTGCATCCTGTTAATTTATATATATTATTCTATTATATTAGTTTTAGTTTATGTATATCATATGTAACTATCGTATTTATTATTATTATTATTTATTGATTTATTTTATTTTTATTTATTGTTTTATTTTATATAATTTACGTAACATTGTGTATATTATTTATTTTTAGTAGTACTAATGTATGCACTAAGTTTGCAATTTCAATATAATTTCCTTTATGGGTCTACTGGAAGATATTTCAGCTAATTTGGAATAAGTAGAACCTTTGTACGAAATTACTATAAGACTGCTTCTGTATCTTAATGTGTGTACATAAAATAAATTAAAAAAAAAGCACACATATGATTAAGTTGACAATCAAAGTATACGCGGAAACATGAATGGCGGCAAAATGGCAAAAAAATCTACTTTGTTTAGCTGCCGAGACACGAATATCCGTAAATTTTCGATCAAGTACCTACTCTCTTACCAATGCGGCCGACACTGCGTGAAGCCTCGGCGCGAGTTGCGGCGTACAATTTCTTTGTTTATACTTTATACCTTTATTTTATAATTTAGATACTTGAAAAAGTAATGGTACAGTTACTTTAAGGTATAGTAATTTAAAGGTACCTTTATTTTAAGGTATCGAAATTTAAAGGTATGACGTCATACCGCTTATCGTCTGTACCATAATTTTTTCGGTTATTCAATCCCTGGGTAAACCGATACGAACGGAGAGAGATCAGGCGCAGGACCAACGGCTTTATGTGCCTTCCGAAGCACGGGGGTGAGACACCGCCAACTTCCTGACTCCGGGCAGCTACTGAGAATTTCTTGACAGAAAAACTCAATAATTGATTTTTTGGCCCGGCCCGGGATTCGAACCACTAGACCAACGAGGCAGTCATTTTGTATCGTTAAAACAACATTATATATGTTGTTTTAACGATACAAAATGACTGGACTAATAATTATATACCTTATTTGACTGGACTAATAATTCCTACAATTATCCTACTCCTGATACTCTGCATTCGTATCATTTTCTTGAAGTTTAGTTTTCTGAAGGTTTCACTTTTACCGCGTGTAAACTATACACGGGATTTTTTTTAAATTAAAAACGTTACCACTCAGATAGGATTTTCTCCTGTATCGTGGAGGCATTTTGCATACATATTTTACACAAGGACAAACATCTAAACACAGAACAATCACTTGTAGGCCATACATATCCTTGTTTTCCGTGCGGCTGGCTAGTGGCTTAGCCATAGAATACTATAACACATACATAATAGAACGGCGGAGTGGGCGGAGCCCGTGTAGCCACTAAAATGTCACTAACACGTCAATTCACATGTACAACTGTCAACACGAGATGTGTTTTGACGCTACAATCGTTTCCAATTTTCGCATGCAAATTATTTAAAAAATGCCAAATTGCACTCCATTTACAAATAAATATGTATTAAAATTTAAACTATTTTTTGATGATGATCTTGAACATTAATCAAAAGTCTAAAATGTGTAAATTTATTCAGTCTGTCAACACAGCGAATCGGGTTTGGCGACGCCAAGCCTCGTACAAAATAAAGTTGACAGCCATTCTATTGTGTATTATAGTATTCTATGGGCTTACGACGCTATCCTCAGCGTGGTAAGTCATTGCTAAGCCACTGCGCCAAGGAGCCGTCATTTTTGTATCTTCCTCAGAGGTTTAATACGTGGTAGAGCCATGCTGCAGTTATATTAGTAGTATAGTTGTAGCACGAATGGGTCGGCTCAACCGGGGCAGGACCACACTCTCACAGAATACCAGCGTCAAATCGTAGCTTAATGCTGCTGTGTTTCGTATGGTGAGTCTAGAGACCTGAGACTCTTTTTACTGGAAACGAGGCATTCCATCTTAGTCCTCACGGGTGACAACGCATCTGCATTTTGATTCGTAATCGAGGATAGATGTAGATGTCTATGGGCCGCAGCAACTACTTACCATCAGGTGGACTGTGTGCTCGTTTGTCACCCTATCCTTTAAAAAAAAAGGTTACAGCACATCTGTAGCCTTCGATGTTTGAAGTTGTCTGCAGATATCTATCGGCTGCAGTACCCACTTACCATCAGTTAGTCTGTCAGTCTGATTAAAAATTGCAATCTTGAATGTATTTGTGGTCACCATCACTAGTCGTCATATAATGTCCAATTTCTTTTCAGACGCCATATGACAATGTCACATATAACAGTACCCGAAGAACCCAAGAAGGCTATTTAAGCTATCCGAGGCGACTCGAAGTCGAATTCGTAAGTCAAACGCCATCTTGTTACCATTATGATGTATGGACTAATAACTAAAGGACTTTAAAAAAAATTGGTAGTAATAAAGATTTCATAGACTAATTGAAAATTAGTTTAGGATTTGTCTTTATGGATACAATATCGATTTATTTTGAAATGGCAATATTATTTTTAGGGGAAAGGATGCCATTTTGATTTCCTCGGTTTTCAATTAGTATATTATTAATCTGTGAAATTTTTTAAAAATGTATTTATTTACGCTTTTCAGATTTTTTGAGTTAATTTATTTATAAAACAAATTTATGACTGCATACTTTAGAAGGTACATTGTGTAATTATGAATTACACATGGTATTGCAAATGTTATCGAATCAAAACGGCGGACATGATTTGGCGCTATGATAAAAAAAATCAATGTAAATTATTTATGTTATATATTTTATTCTGTTAATTGGTGCTTACGATTTTGTATTTTGTCAATTTTAAAATTAACTAATAATAAAATTTTCAAGCAGAGTTCCAGTAAAGGACTTGACATATATTGAATATATTAAAGAAATAATAATACTGGTTTAGCAGATCAATCCAATCCACCGCCTCAGACAAACACTTACCGAATACCAGCGTAAAATATCAGCTTAATACTGCTGTGTTTCGTATGGTGAGTGTGGAGAACCAGAGACCCTTTTTACTGAAATCGAAGGCATTCTATCTTAGTCCTCAGGGGTGACAATGCATTTGCGTTTTAATTCTTAATTGAGGATAAATGTGGATGTCTATGGCCCACAGCATCCACTTACCATCAGGTTGACTGTGTGCTCGTTTGTCACCCAATGCTATAAACAAACACACGTCAAAATCTGCTCAACTTATTGTAAGAATACGCACTCACACACACATATGCACATTGCGTGTGTCTCAAAAAGTTGAACATTGTTTTGATATACAAAATCATGTAGGTATCATATTATAAATGAATGTTATATAAAATATACCTTGCATTTTCTTTTAAAGAATATTAGATTAGTAATTACTATATGAAATATGCAACTTGATGTAGTTCAACTTCTATATGTAAAGTTAGATTAATTAAGCTTGGGATTGGATCACTTTTGCATAACTACATCCAACTAAAGGTGGAAACATACTTAAGAAAGCGACCTGTTAAAAACTGATGTGTGTTTACTCAAATAAAATCCAAACCCACGTGGCTCAGCGTGTTTTATTTATTTATTCTCTATTGTAATCACCTTGGGTCTTACTATGGGTGGACTTAATTCCTTCTAACATTTTCTTCCCGTCAACTTTGGGAGGTTACGGACATTGAGGAAAAGAAAGTATATTTTTTGTCTAACGAAATTTATATTGGATATGAGTAAAACGTTTCATCACAAGGACACGCGTTTTATAAGTATGTTTCCACCTTAAACATTGTCTATGGCCACAATAGGGTTACCAACATGTTGTATTTTTTACTGTTAGACGACGACAACGTACTGAATTTTTAGACATTATTTTGATTACGAAAAATCTATAATTTTCGTATATAATTTTGTAAATTTAATTTTGCTGTAATCTTCATATCATATTAATATATTATTGTTAACCTTAGGGCTTAAAATGGCGACCATTTTGGGTAGTGAATTTGTTTCTTAAAAATAACAGATCAGGCAGTTGCTGTTCCCGTTTCTCTTCATTAATATTTGAAATTGAAAATTTTCTGTATTGCGTTATATTGATAATATCAATATATTCATATATATTCGTATGTATATATTAATATACATCTCAAAGATTCTTGTCTGTTATATACATATATAAATTATAGAGGCGAAGGCAACACTCGTATTATATGTTAGCAATATATATTATCTATGTTATTAGATATAATTATAAATTATAATATATCTAGATAGTAAAGTTGATATATTGGAAATTCGATGTGTTCTAATATAGATTGAGAGACAGAATAGATTTGAATGAAAGGAGCGTTGTCGCTGCCGTAATTGAAAAGTGATTGAATACAAAAATAAAAGAAATAGATCAACGCTTAATAGAAACAAAACTAATAAGTCACGAAAGCAAATATTATGTTGTTTATCCGACTGTCCCAGAAGGGAAGGTATTGTTTCTTTAGTGTTGTTTATGTCAGAAAAAAATCTTCATATAAATTTCTTTAGCACACTCTGTAGGCTAAATTGCTTAATGAATTTTAACGTATTAGGGGGTCGTTAGATTTGATTAAGTTGTGAAAGTGACAGGGTATATAACTTTTTATCTATTCAGTCAGCTTTTCACACAGTGAGGTTTTTAGATACTTTTTACATTTTGGCTTGTTAATACTTGGAATAGGTAATAAATTTCAACCTTATAGCTATTTAGTAGTTTCAAGTGCAATAATATAATGTTTTAAAAAAGTACATATTTAGAAAAATTTCGTATAACTTTATTTAAAAAAACTTATTTAATTTTAGTCAAGATTTAAAAAAATTTACCGTAAATATTAAATTTAAATAATTACAGCTTTACTCATGAAAATCGACGTCCATTAAAAATAATTTTGTTGATTTTTCTCTTTTTAATAAATGGCGTTAGAAATGGACGGTTACGATACGGTTAGAGATAAACGATTATAAGTAAGGCTGTTAAAATAGTAAAATAAAAGTAATTTAAAAAACATAAGTACATCGAAGCAGTTTTAGTATACGTATACATATAGCTGCGCGAAAATAATAAAACTTATAACAAATATACCGTCGTATCAAAATTTTTATTTTTATTTTTTTTTTTTATTGAAACACGGAAGCGGCAGCGGCTAGCAAGAGGCAGGGTCAAACAATCTGTGATCTGTGGGCATAATGTGATTGTAGATTAGAGTGGTGTTACAGTGGCTTACCATAGATCCACTTTACTCTAGATTTAATGGCTATATAATACAATTTATAACCTGTATTTAAAATTGAGAAAATAAATGTCTAACCATATCGTCTATATAATCCATGGCTTACTAAACTTATAACATCAAATACGTTCAAAAACGCGGATGGGTCCTGTTGTAGCATGGAGTCTGCAGTCATTTCGACGTGGTCGATGAGTCGGTCTGTGTCGACATTACCGCTATGGGACTTATAGAGGCACCCGTTGACGCGGTTGACCTTCAAGACTGCCAAGGCTTCAAAAAAAGATGTCCTTTCTAATCCTTTCTAATCCAGCCCGGGGCACAAAGGAGTGTTCTAATTTGTACCCCGGGTAGGAGAAATACGAAGTGTCAGCCGGAGAGGACACCTTTTTCTCGATTAGAAAGAGCAAGGCCGCATTTGCCGTTTCCAGATGGTAGAGGAAGGTGTTAAGGTTTGAAAGAAGTCCCCTGATGTTGCAGGTAGAGTAGCTTGGGTGTGGATGCTTAGCGAAAGATTCTCCGTCACCAGGCGCATGCAAACATCATTTAGATCAGTATGGTCAAATTGACGAACAAAGTTGCGGATCCCAAATTCAAAACACAGAGACACGTATGCTAGTTGTTGGGTATGGTCAACATACCTATAACCTATAAAACTATAGTCGACGGTGTATATTTAAAAAAAGTATATACATAGTATGTTTCAAATTAATATGGAATATTTTTGTTTTCTCCCTTTATTCATATAGCCTAACATTAAGTCAATCTTTATTAAAATATAGCAGTTATTAAATCGTGGACCAAAGTTGATCTATGGTAAGATTTTCAGAATGAAGAAAATTTTGATGATGATGAGAATCGACCGTTTATTCAGTACAAAATTTTATCATATATAGTCCTTTTAAAATTTTTAGGATATAAGGAAATTTCGAACACCTCTTTCTTAGATACATTAGACGTGTGAAAGTTTTAAAAATATTATAGAATAAATATAACTCGAATCGATTTTTTAGATTAAAAAATAATTGTCTATGGTAAGGGTGTTGCAATATAGAAGTAATATATAATGGTTTGCTATATTGATTTAACGTTATCTCTGTTTTAAACTTGGTGCTAGTATTATTTTAGAAATTGTACGTTCATATGGATTGTTACGCTGACATCACACATGGCGATTGTGTTTTGCCATCCATTAGTAAAGCCAGCTGATTTATGTCAAAAGCGACTTCGAACTTGTCGCTTTATGAGGCTGTAAGGCATTTCACCTTAGTCCTTTACAGCTTTTGTTTCAAGTTAATATTAATATACCTTCAACAAACCGTTTTATGGATGTAAATATGGCTCAATTATTATTATAATATAACATAGAATAAATGTTTTGAATCTGCTTCCTAAGGAATTCAGTTTGATCATGGATATTTTGGTCGGCTGGTCAAGGTGTGTCAAGACCGAGGAGTCTATCTTCGTATCTAGTTTCTGTGATGTTAGTGCTGTTAGCCAGTTGGCTTTTGCATCTTCATCGGACTCAGGACTTGTGGCCTGAAAAGCCAACACCAACACCCAAAGGAGTTTTCTTCCGCGTACAACCGCTCTGTGGATTAGTTTACCACCGGCGATTTTTCCGGACCGATACGACCTGGGGACCTTCAAGAAAAGAACCTACTCCTTTCTAAAGGGCCGGCAACGCACCTGCAATTCCCCTGGTGTTGCGGTTGATTATGGGCGGCTGTAATCACTTAACATCAGGTGAGCCGCATGCTCGTTTGCCCTCTGTTCTATAAAAAAACACTCTTTGTAAAACTATGGAGCTTTTCCTATGTCTTGCAGAGTCCTTCAGAAATTTCGTTAGCGTGATTTAGACTTCGGTTCATTTACGCGTGTGACGTGATAGCAATGTCGTCACAGTACGTTACTATTGTCCTTTTGTAGTAGATAACTATTTAGAGTAGCAGTCAATAACTTTGTACCTTCAGGCTCTCCCACGTTCTCATCAAATCCGGACCCTTAGTAGGTAAACATGGAGTCGTTATCACTTCTATCGTGCGGTTTAAGCATACATTATACCTTTTATCCGTAAA